TATTGAAAGCTCTGCATAAGTTAAAGAGTACCAAAGCAACTGGTCTCGATGACGTCCCTCCTGGTATGATTAAGGATGCATCTCAATATATTGCTGCACCTCTAGCTTATATCATTAATCTATCATTGTCTTCTGGGATATATCCTGCCCAATGGAAAAACGCTAAAATTATACCTGTCTATAAATCTGGCAGCGTCTCAGAGTTGGACAACTACCATCCAATCTCAATTCTACCTGCTATCTCTAAAATTGTGGAGCGCCTGGTTCATGATCAGCTGGCAAAATTTTTGGAAGACTCAAGCCTGTTTTCACCTACCCAGTTTGGTTTTAGATCTAAGTACTCAACTGGTCTCGCAGTTACCTACTTTACAGATACAATCAGGAAAAAAATAGACCGTAGAAAGCTAACAGGGGCAGTTTTTATAGAGTTCCGTAAGGCATTCGACACGCTCAACCATGCTGTTTTAATTAAAAAGATGGAGATGCTTGGTATTCGTGGTGTCCAGCTTAAATGGTTTACGGGCTATTTATCAAATAGACAACAAATTGTAATCTATGATCATTATAGACTGGATAATTATCCGGTTTCTTACAGTGTTCCTCAAGGATCCATCCTGGGGCCAACTTCTGTTTTTGATATTCATTGATGATCTTTCCAAGGTTTTAAAACAAGGTTTTGTCTGAAGACATGGATGCAGTTGCACAATGGTTGCAGAGGAATCAGTTCGTGATTAGTCTTAAAAAGGGTAAGTCAGAGTCTATGGTTTTTGGTACAGCAAGACGTCTTGCAAAGGAAGAAAATTCATCCCTGTGTATCCAAATCGGAAGTGATGTAATTAGAAGTACCACTTCATATGTATATCTCGGTGAGAAGTTAGACCCAATGCTTAACTTTGGCCAGTATCTGCACAGAACCTTCAAGAAAACATTAAGTAAACTGAAAATGCTCAAGAAGTTACGTTCTTCTTTGACAGTCCAGTCTGCTTGTATGATTTATCAGTCCACGATTGTTCCATTAATGACATATTGTGATATGGTAACTTTAAATCTACCTGAATCATGGTTATCAAAGTTTGTCAATTTGGAAAATCGGCCAAAGAAAATTATTGCAAATGGATTAAGTATTGAAAACGATGATTTAAATATACGCGACTTTTACTCAACACACATTTTTAACACGGTTATTTATGGTGGTTTTTAAATCTTTAAATGGTCTATCATGTGAACCATTTAAGGACTATTTTCAAATTATGAGTCATCAACAAAATACTCGTAATAACGATTATTGTCTGCGACTACCGAAAGTCAAATTGGAAGTTTGGCGGAAAGGGTTTATTTCCAAGGAGCTATGGCTTTTAATAAACTGCTTTACATGTTCGCCAGATAAACTCCATTTATACATTTTAAAAGTGTTCTTAAGCAAATGAACAGTTTTTAGACATTAAGTATCATTGTGTGTTTAGTATTGTATGTATAGCATATTACCATATTTTTATTTACAGGGTGTATCATAAAAAACGGAGTCCTCGCTTCAAATATAAATTTCGAAACGAATATTAGAGTAAAACGTTCAGGTTTACATTTGTTTTAAAGCGTAGACATTCAGCTTTCCAACAATGGGTTGTTTCGTAAATTTAATCCAGTAGTTCGTGAATAATAGTATTTTAAGTGATTGCGATTGGCGAGTCAAAAATTTGAGATGCAATAACAAATCGGTACTTGATGAAAATAACTTATTTTGTCAACAAAACGAGCAAATTGAGGCATTTTGGCAATAGCTTGTAAAAACTAAGTAATAAAGGCTTCCAATACACTATTTTAAATTCACTTGCTGAAGCGTGTTGAAGCGTGCTGAAGAGTTTATATCCCAGCTGAAGCGTGTTTTAGCTTGCCGTCAACTTGCTAATTTATGTTTACATTGCACCCGATTCGATGGTGCTCGTTCGGACGATGCATGGACATAAGATTGTTTTGATGATTTCTGGAAATAATTTAGGATTTTGAAATAAATAAAACAACCTAATCTCTTTTAGAATGTTTTTAACAAGTTTTTACTAGTTTTTCTGATGTGGCAACAAGAACATTAAAGTTTGAACAAGAAAATTCAAACATTGTAACCGACTATGGAATATCATAGTCCACATCTTCACCTCTTTGTCTTCACTGTGATGATCATGGTTCAAGTACTCAAGTAAAAAGGTCAAGAAAACAACAAATGTCAAATTTAATTGACAGTCCAAATATTCGAGTGGTGGTTCGAGTTAGGCCACTCATAAGGCCCCTATCCGACAAGGTCGGACGTGTTTAAGAGCTAAGGAGAATTTAACAATTATGCCTCCAAAGAAAGAAACCTTAACGGTAGATGCGCTTAAACAGCTGTGGGAAAGCGAATTCCTACCAAGTATAAGAAGCGAATTTAAGAAGGAGATTGATCATATTAAACGAGAGCTAAATTCGCTTACACAGAAGTGTAATGAGATTGAAAAATCTCAAAGTTTCTTGGCCACTGAGTATGACAATGCTAAAACATCAATTCAGACAACAAAGAAAGAAGTTATGGAGACGGCTAAGTCGCTTAAAGAAATAGAAGTCAAAATTAAATCTACTGATGATCGAATTTATGATCAGGATACAAGGATGGACAATATTGAGCAATACCTCAGACGTGATTGCATTGAAATAACAGGTATTCCAACTGTGTCGCAAGACAATCCTAAACAAATTGCAGTCGAATTAGGTGAAATGCTGGGAATTGAGGTAACAGAACATCACATTTCAATAGCCCATCGTCTCCCCCCAACAAGAAAGATACGAAATCGAATTATTGTTAAGTTTGTCCATAGAAATATGAAGGAAGAGTTTTATAAGCGCGACGAAGCAAGCTAATCGGTAAAAAATCAAAAGACATTCCTTCTGTCGCAAAAGATTATGGGAAAACAATACATGAATCTAAGGGCCTGTTCATATGATCCCGCTTACCGGGACGTCTCGCTTACCGAGACGAATATTTCTGTGCGTTCATATGGAGTATTTCGTCCCGCTTGCCGAGATGAAATTACATTGTTGTTCTATAATTAGCGTATGCAAAACTTCTACATTTCAGTCAAGCAACACAAATACTTGGCGATTTTAGTGTTTTTCTTCGTTTATTTACAAGAAAAA